TGTGCGTGACTGCGTCACGTGTGGCTATGTCTGTGATTTCGGGCTTAGGATCCTCACATGTGTGTGTGTCTGTGACTGTGTCGTCTGTGACTAACTGGTGTGTGATGTCGGGCTTAGTATCATCACGTGTGGGTGTGTCTCTGACTGCGTTACATGTGGGTATGTCCGTGACTGTGTCACATGTGGTTCTGTCTGTGACTGTGTCACGTGTGGGTATGTCTGTGATTTCGGGCTTAGGATCCTCACATGTGGGTATGTCCGTGACTGTGGCGCCTGTGGCTGGTGGTTGTGTGATGTCGGGCTTAGGACCATCACATGCGGGTATGTGCGTGACTGTGTCGTTTGTGACTGTGTGTTGTGTGATGTCGGGCTGAGGGGGATCACATGTGTGTGTGTCTGTGACTGCGTTACCGGAGCCTGGTGCTTGTGTGATTTCGGGCTTAGGATCAGCACATGTGGGTGTGTCTGTGACTGCTTTACATGTGGGGCTGTCTGTGATGTCGGGCTGAGGATGATCACTCGTGGTGGTATGCGTGACGGTGTCACATGTTGGTATGTGCAGGACTGGGTCACATGTGGTTCTGTCTGTGACTGTGTCACTTGTGGGTATGTCTGTGATTGCGGGCTCAGGAGCAGCACAGGTGGGCGTGTGTGTGGCTGGATCGGGGTCCTGTTCGTTAGGTGGACATGGATCTTTGCCGTCGGAATCGGTGGGTTTATCCCGCGTTGGTGAATCGGTGTTTGTTGTTGAGTCCTGGGTTGCTAAACCGTCGTCTGGGGTACAGACATCCAAGGAACTACTATGTCCGTGGTTGCCCCCCATAAACTCTTCAACGAGTATTTGCAAATAGTCGTCTTTGACGTTTTCCCATTCGGCTGCTTCACATTCGTGGAGCACTTCTAGATGTAGCTCGATGATGGTGCGCTTATGCACGCGGGGTGGGCGTCGTCCGCGGCGTCGTCGTTGGGCGGGCAATCTGCCGGGCTGCCTATCCCTAATCATCGTGTACCCGTAATCGGGTGGCGGCAGGTCGCCGCGTTGTAAATGATCCAATATTACTTCGTCGAGTGGCGGTGACGGCACGTCACGAACGGTTCGATACGTTCGTCGTCGTTTGTGTCCGAGGAAGGCAAAATACTAAGCAAAAAAAGAACGAGGACGATGTAGAATAGTGCATTTGTGTTAGAATGATGATAGAAAAGCCCCCGCAGGAACACATTGTTCTATGGTACATATGACGGATACATACACGGTGTTGCGTATATACTTACCTTCCAGAGGGAATAACCAAGAAGGGCGACGATGACGGCGGACAGGAAGAAGAGTACGGGAGTAGTGGCCGTAAGGACGGTGTCGGTTAGGTCGGGGACATCTGGGGTCACTCTCCCGGGACCTTGGTTACCGCCCGATGAACTGGGTGATCTATCTTTTAAGGTTGGTGGTGCATATCCTTCTCCTATGCTGCCGGTAGATGGTGCACGGTCTAAGGATAGTCCAAAGCCACCATCCGGATCTGTAGGCTGAGAACCCGTACCCTGTGTGTTATTGGTGTGCGTGGACGGGTCGGATCCGGGTGTTGAGGAACCAGGGTTTTGGGGACCAGTGGAACCCGGTCCAGAGGAACCTCCTCCAGCCCCACCTCCTTTTCCTGCCTCACCAGCAACACCACCTACACCAGGACCAGTGCCGCCGCCGGGGCCGCTACCGGTTGCACCCGATTGATTTGGGTTCGGGTTCGGTTTTGGTTTGGGTGGATTGAGAGGAGGGGGGTCATCGTTGCCGCCGTCAACGACGTCATGGCCTGAACATTTGGTGAATGGGGAGACAGGGAAAGGGTAGGAAGAAGTATGATGAAACTGAAGTTTTGCAGGTGGTTGTGGGATGATCGCTGATGGTCGGCACCATGGATGCATGGTGCCACGGTGCGAACGGTGGTTGGCAGGTGCCACCCCGGGGAAAAGACTCTCTCTCTGTCTCCCACAACACACACAACACACACAGACAGTGTCTGTGTCGACTTCTGTCGACGTCTACATAGTGCGGCCGACCAGGCGCTCGGTCTCTACGGCCCGTGGCTCGGGCGCTCACTGTCCCCCGCTGATTCTCATGCGACGGTGGGTTCTCTATCAGGGGGCTCTGCGAGAACTTCGGTGTTTTGTGTTTCATGTTGTTTTTGTCCTGTTTTGATTCTCTCCTTTTTTTTGTGCCTTTTTGTTTTTCCCCTATTCCTCGTACTAATTACCCACGCACAGTACCTGTAGGAACTGTGAAGGTAATGGGGGTACTTCCTTCGGTTACACTAATGGTACGCGAACTTCCCCAAAGTGTCTTATTAAGCGCGTTCTCTTCCTCAAGGTCCGTCACTTGAGGAGGGATGTCAGGTGTAACTTTGCCTTCCAGGCAAGCATAAAGTTTATCCTGATCCATCTCATTTTCACTACATTGTTCTGCTGGTCCTTGGGAGTTCCCCGGCGTACTCCCTTGTGCTGCAGGCGCAATTGGATTCTTACCTGTTGCACTTGCATCTGGTGCTCCTCTTCCAGGCTTCTCATCGGATCGTGTTGGTCCTGATGCAGAGCCTCCTGGTATGACCGGTGGTGCCGCATGTGGGGGTTGTGGTACGGATCCCGCAGCCGGTCCTGATCCCGTTCCTGCGGATGTCGTTGATCCTGGTTTTTGTGCCGGTGGTGGGGGCAATACGGGTGGTACATCAGCTGGTGCAATGTGTGCGCGTCCAAGTCCTCCTCCCCCTAGCCCACCTGGTGTTGGTGGTGACGTCTGTACGTCTGACGTGTCCTTGTTGTTTGTTGTGTTGTCCGCATTACTTCCTGACGCCGCCTGGTCTTCCTTGTCCTTCCCTGCAAGAAGAAAGGAATAAAGATGGTAAACAGATGATAAAAAAACAAAACGACACAAGTGGTACAGAAAGAAGGGGCGCGAGACGGTGCGGTCAGGTAGCGGCAGGGTAGGGTCCGGCGCGATGCAGTGGGTCGATGCAGTGGGTCGATGCATGGATGGAGGTGAACTCGGTGGCCTGCGTCAGGCGACCGCACTCGTACGGCGAGGTGAACTCGCTTGACTGGGTCGTGCTGGATGGTAGTAGTACACTTTTATTTGTCGCCGTCATCTCAACTCCGGTGTAGCCCGCGTCCTGTCCGCTCGTCGTCGCTACATGCTGTTCCGCCGCGTGTGCGTGTTGTTGTTGGCGGCATCCATATTCGGCCGTACGACCCGTGCGCGCGGCGTATGCGTATGCGGCAGTATGATCCGGTATGCGGCCATATGTTCGTATTGTTACAAATCGTGTGCATATTGTTACGGGCCGTATGCTTACTTCTTACTATACGCATCCGTATCCTCCTTATGCTTACCTTTCCTTGTTTTAGTTTCCTCCTCTAGTTCTTTCCTCGCTGTCTCAATGACCTCCTGTACTTTCCTCTCGTCTTCTTGTACTTCAGGTATTTCTCCCTTCTGCACGTTGCCTTTAACATCCTGTTCTTTGTCTTTTATATATTCTTTCCAATCCATATCACACTTCGCCGCCCCCTCTATGTTCCCTATTTTGTCCATTATGCCTCCTTTGCTTACTAACCAGTCCACAATGTTTCCATTTACTGGCCTTATAATGGCCCCTGTCACTTTGTACCCACATTCCGTCCAATCCCCTTTCATTACAGGACCTTTTTTATCTTCCTGTATGCCTCCAGCCTCTCCCATTGCTTTCACCGTTTTCCAGGCATACTTTACACCCCTTCTCCACGGTGTCTTATGTGCACAATATTTGTTGTCCAGTATATACCCAAAGGCATTCGCTGCCTCACACCTCAACTGCTTCTCTTTTTCATCCATAACACCACGTCCCTTGTTCGCAGTGCCCTCACTACCGTTTCCTCCGTTTGCATAGAACAATGCTCCTGTCATAAGTCTACATCTTATTACATCCGCTACTGTCTGATCTTTCCTGGGGTAGTCATCCACATCTTCCCAACCTGTATTATTACAATTGGCACCCATGGCTTCCATGTACTCGTCCTTCTTGTGCATGTACTCCACAAATCCCTGCAATACTGTCTTCAATTCTTCGAGATCTTTATCCTACACGTTGCACATATGCATAAACAAATATGCATGTTCATACTGTATCTACACTTTGTCCCCTGAATACATGTACACTCACCTACTTACATATACTCCATGAATAACTTCCCTGTCGTTCTTTTATCTCTATCTCGCTCCCTTTCTCGTGGTCGATGCTGCGTGTGCTCTAACTTACACTATAATTACGCAGCACGTACACTTGCTTCCTCTTCTCGTCCAATATACTACTCCACTCACAATTATCTCGTTCGGCCGGCGTCCTTGCCACCGGTTTCGCCGGTCCCGGCTGTGATGCCGGTTTCACCGCTACTGGTTTGGCAGCGGTGGCCGCCTTGCCGTCGACCGGCTTGGCGGGTGCTGGTGTGGCAGGTGCGGCCGGTGTAGCTGCTGATGATTTCGTGGACGATCCCTGTGCTGGTGTACCTAAGAAAAGGGAAGGGGTGGATATTTGTTAAAACAAAGCGAGATGCATGAACACAAAAGAAGAAAGGGGTGTTCACGTCGGCGGGGCGGCCTGTTCGGAGGCGTTGGGTTAGGTGGACGGTAGCATTACACTTTTATTTGTTGTGGCCGTCCCGCTCGGTCATGTCGTCCCTTCTGCCTCGTCCGCCGTCCCGCTGCATCCCTCAGGTCCGCTGCGGTGCGTCGTCGCCGCTGCGCACTCTTGTACACGGGGGCCGTCGTCGCCGCACACTTCGGCTCAATGAAGGGACCGTGCGTTGCTGTTCCGCCGTGTGCATTGCTGTCACCGCGTGTTCGTGTTGTGGCCGCGGCGCACTCAACTTCAACGAAGTGGTTTGCCGTCCTGTTGCGTTCGAAGCTGTCTCATTCTGTCTCAACCTCGCCTGCCTTACCTGACTGCCCCTTCTTCGCCTGTTCCCTCTGTTCTATGCCTTGCTCTACCTGTTGCTTAATTCCTTTAAATACTTCCCCCAGTCCTGCCTTCAGTGCGTGCACTATCTCAACAATCTGCGAACCTGCGACATCCGGTGCAGGTCCCTTCCCCAGGATGTCGTCTAGGTTCCATTCCTTCCTCCACTGCTGCGTGCACAGTGTATGTCCTTGTATTTTCTGTATTGCCTCTTTTAGTTTTCTATTTTGCCGTAACCATTTCTTGACTTGTTCATTTAACTTAAGTGTTCTTATGTTCAAATCACCAACGAGTTCTCTACGACATGTCCCCTGCTGTATTAAACCTGCGGGAAGACCGCCGTCCTTCCCTAAATTGTCCATTATTTTCCATGCATAAAATATTCCCCACGTACTTTTGCACACGGATTCGTTTAATACTTCGCTGAACATATGTACTATTGCACATCGTAAGTGCTCCCTTATTTTCTCATTGGTTGCATCGTCCTGTTGTCTAGCCTTTTCTGAACTAGTCCACCCATTCATGAAAAATAAGGCCCCTGCCATAAGTACGCATACAATTTTATCGCCGACCGTTTGTGTCACTAATTTTGCACGCTTCCCATGCGCGTGGTGCTGCCATCCTGCGTTACCACAGTTCGATGCATACGCTAGTATATCGTCGCCCTGCATGTATTGCACAAATTCCGCCATTACCTCTTTGGTCTTCTGCCACACCATGTCCTACAATGTAAGAGAAACACAGGAAATATATACATGCGCATGTGTGCTTGAAATCTATGTGCCCCGCTGCGATTCATGCTCTGTTGCATCAATAAATGCCTAGCACGGAACTGCCCGTGTTGTGCTGCTACTCCTGTATGTTCGTACCTCATAGTCCTCCTGTGTGGAAATGCCCGCGTCGATGACCCATTGGGCCAACAGGTGGCCTAAGTTCGCTGCGGACATAATAGTATTATTCTATTAGTATACTATACTCGGTCCAGTTCCTTGGAAATATTATGATGCTACATATATCCCATGGTAAGGCTTATAACATTCTCTCCCTCAATATGTTCATATTGTACTAAATAATTATTCTTCCTCTACTTCTACACCAATTATTTCATGAACTGCTGGTATCATAGGTACTTGTGCTCACTATAGTGCTGCCGTACACTATTTATAGTTGCGCTAAGGTAGAACTCTATCAAGAAAAGAGAAAAAAATAAAAGGATTGAATAACAAGAAGAGAAAGAATAAAAAAAAAAAAAACCAAAGGAAACACCAGGACAATACTAGACAACGTCATGAAAAGCACCCCCCGCCCCCCTGTCTACACCGGTCAGCACTAAACGCCTGTCACACACACTGTCTCTCTGTGTGCGTACACTAAACCCCTTGTACACTAAAACCGCAGTAGCGACAACAACATCAATGCTGCTGCCGTCGTCGCCGCTACAGTTGCCGTCGCCGCTACAGTTGCCGTCGCCGCTCAACCGAAGTGCAGCTCAGCGCAATGGGGCAGCGACGCACCGCGCTGTGCGCTGTTCCGCCGTGTACGTTGTTTCCGTGCGTTGTTGTGGCCGTTGCGGTTGTGACCGTCCATCCGTGCGCAGTTGTACGGTACGTAGAGAGCGTGCCGTATTGGTGCTTGCTGCCCATCGGTCCTTACCTGCGGGTTCCGTTGGTGCTGGTTTACCGCTTCCGACAGGGTTCAGTGGTATGGACTCAGTGTCGTCATCCTCCGGATCGCTACTGGGGTCGTCTTCGATAGGCTCCATGCATGCGTCATGGTCCTGCTCGCATTGCACGACTTCTGTCTTTACCTGCTCAACTATGAGCTTCAGGTCTTCGCCTAACTGTTGTATAACTGCTGTCTCCTCATGCTGCATCTCAATTTGTGCATTAGGTTCCTTGTTACCCGTTTCTTTCCGCCCATTTCCTGCTAATGTGTTCTTACATGTACGGTTTATCTCGGGACCTGCAAATGTGTCCCTCAATCTCTTATTGTCCTCTAACCATTCCTTAATCTTAGTCTGCATGTCAAATTGTCCTATTTGTATGTTTTCAAACTGTCCCTGCTGGCACTTGCTGTTTGTAATGAGTCCGTGCCAACCTTGTTCCAGCTCTGTCACAACCTCCCATGCATAATGTATGCCCATGTGACTTTTGCATGGAGATTCGTTCAATATGTACATAAATATATTTACTATTGCGCATCTTATATGTTCCTTCAACGCTTCATTATGATCTTCGGTATTGTCCGTCCTGGCGGACCTTGTTGGCCAGGCATTCATGAACAATAATGCTCGTGTCATGAGTCTGCACATTGCTTTCTCTGGGCTCTTCCATGGTACCCGTACCCGGTGACCATATTCAGTTTCGTCACATGATGAAGTCAACATCTTTTCGTACTCTTCGTTCTGTATAAAATCCACAAACTCATTCAATACGACTTGTATGTCGTTCCATATGCTCCTCTATAATGTGAAAGATCGGAAAAACATAAATTTTACGTTCAATCGATGCATACTTACTGTGGTCGCACAGTGCTCTATGCCAACTGTCCACTAAAAAATTATGCATACATTTTGCTCACATTCCTATTGACCTTGTTCCGTTGTTCTCATTGTGCTAAAATAACTTACACTTAATCGGTCCTGGTCCGCTACTCGCCTTCGTTCTACCCACTGCCTTATTAAATCTGCCCAATGCTGAACCATTTTGGCGCATGTATCCTTCCTGATACTATTCCTACGTTATAATTCAATGCAGTATAATTGAATCCTCACGGTCCATAAATAATTATCCTGCTTCGCGTTGTTCTACGTCATGGAAGAGTCCAGACAGTTCGATGTTCCCCTGTTGTGTTATTTATCTAATACTGTATCCTATAATCAACATGTCCGTATAGTGCGCTGCGGCAATACTGTTGTATGCAGTACTGCGCACAAGAATATATTATACTCCTCTTATGGGCAGCACGCAATAAAAGATGATTCCTCCATCACTGAAACAACAAAGGCTAAACTAAAGCCCATTCTGTGTTGCAATACGTTCGGAACTGCTGTCACGCATATCTGTCATCTTCCATATTTATAGAATAGTACTCCTTCACAGGACTCGAGCACGCAATTCCGCACATAAACAGCACTTTCGCACGTTTACTCTACGTGAGACGTATAAATCCTATTATTCGTGAAACCATATGTATATAAAGTAAGAACGAGAGAGAAAGGAAAAGAAAAAGGAACACAAAACAGGCAATAGGAGGAACCTAAGGAAAAACAAATAACAAAAGACCAAAAAACAAAAACAAAGGAAAAAATAGGAACAACACTACACACAACGCGTCATGAATACCGCCCTTACTGCACCGGTCTACAATAAACCGCAGTAATAACAACAACATCAATGTCTGCTGCCGGCGTTGCTGCGTTGCGTCCGTCGTCGACGCCGGCCTTCCGTGGTTGATACTCCCACATAATATGTGTATTCCGTCGTCCCCGCAGCGCTCACTCTGTACTCCCTCTGTGCTCCCTCTCTGCGATCCCCTTGTCTGGATCCTTCCTTCGAACCTCCTTACTCGGCTACTTCGTCGAAACCTTCTTACACTGGGCTACGTTCGCGGACAATCGCGTTTACCCGGCCGTGTTTGCTCGGAGACAATGGTTCTGCGTGGTGTACCCGGCCGCTTGGGTCGACGCGTGTGCTCGTACAGACAAGCGCTCCTCCTTTTTACACTCAGACAATACTTCGTCGAACTGCTTCACTCGGACAGTCGTGTTTACGCGGCCGCGTTTGCTCGGCGAGACAATGTCTCCCTCCGTTCTTACACTCGGCTACCTCGTCGACAAGGTGCTTTGCCCGGCCACGTTTGCTCGGAGAGACAATCCTCCTCCTTTCTTACACTCGGCTACGTCGTCGAATCCGTGTTACACTTGGCCGCGTTGCTCGACGCGTTTGCTCGGAGAGACAATCGCGCGCCTTTGTACACTCGGTCGCATTACGCGGACAAGCGCGTTTACCCGGCCGCGTTGGTCGACGCGTGTGCGCGGACACACAATCTGTCGTCGTTGTTGCACTCGGCTACAATGCGGTTTACCCGGCCGCGTTTGCGCGGAGAGACCATGTCCTTAGACGCGAAGGCTTATGCGCATTCTATATGTGTTCTGCACTATACCCTTCAAATGCACTTGCTCAGCTTTTAATAATTAACTTCACATAAAGGAGAATTCTACCCCGTTCATATTATTCATTTAAATCTACATTTTATATGCATTTAACCGGTACCACCCTGTCCCCATAGTTATATTAATAGAAGTGGAGTACACAGAAAAAGAACAAAACAGGGCAAAAGTAAGCACAAGTAAGCAGAAGTAAGCAGAACAGAGAAGAAAAAAAAAAAAAGAAGGTATGGAATAATGTAAACCAGAAATATATTATGTATATCACATAATGAAGTAAAAGTCGTGTGCGGGTAGCATGCGTTATTTCGCATGCATATGCAACGTCATGCTAATGTTAACACGTTTGCAATAGGTCATCCACATATAACTCCGTCTGCTGCATACGTCTCTCGACCTCGCATTCTTCGATTACGGCCGCGAGAAGGAGCATCCATATTTTAGCGGTTAACGGTGTGTTCATGTAAGGTTGCGGATGCAGTTGCGACCGTGGTACATCTCTCACTCGTAGCAAGTCTGCTGCTGCTGGTACTATTTGCATGTTTAAGTCTGTTTCAACTCCAGGTACTTCGCCTTTGTGCGATTCTGTCTCCTCCTCTACATTATTCAACAAATGTGGGAACCACTCTTCTTCACTGTATGTACGGAGTTGCTGATGTTGTTGCGCTACCCATTCTTTCCATGCATGCAATTTCTTCCTTTCCATGGTTGCGGCTGTCCGGTGCTCACCGGATGCTCCGTTTGCCGCCATGTGATCACGCAGGTAGTGTTTCCATTCCGATTTGAGGGCATTAAACCACGGCTGCGTCGTGCACTCGCGCAACATATGTTTGTGTTGTTCAATCCAGTTAATCCAGTGAGGGCAGTCCGACGTCGCGTCCCGCGGAACAGTAGAGGGACTCTGGTCTTCTTCTGTATGTATGGTTTCCATACAATTCCATGGGTCATCATCGTTAGGGGGATAACGGTCCGTTTCTAACTGTATGGTTTCCATACAACGCCATGGGTCGTCTGCAGGCGGTGGTAAGGGATTTGTGCCGTCGGACTCGGTGGCTGAAACATTGTGCCCTGATAAAGCCTGCTTTGTGGTAGACACACCCACGATATTGTTATTCGTTTCCTCGTCCCGCATCAAATGCTGCGCAAACTCCTGCACGACAATCTGCAAATAGTCGTCTTTGACGTTTTCCCA